AAGCCTCCTGAAAAGGAGGGAAAGGTCCCTGAAGGAGGGACGCCAAGGGCTTCCCTTTCCTTGCCCATCTGTCGAGGAGAAAGAGAAAGTGCCTTCCGAGTCGTATCGTCTTAATCAATCCCGCTGCCATCGAGCAGAGGAAAAGAACCGGCTTATTTTCTATTTTTTCCCCCCTCTGAAGCCCCTCCATTTCTTGCACTTTGTGGCATGGAGAGAACTAGTGTTGACAAAAGTTTGTTTCTAACTTGGCTCAGGCAGAAGGAGGAAAGGGGAAAAGAGAGACAGGGAATGCGAAGAGACAAGGCTGGGTCTACACGGCCATATAATGCATTACATTGCACATAGTGCATTGCATTACAGTGTAGACCCATTATATAATGCATATAATGGGTCTACACGGCCATAGAATGCATTACATGAACTACCAGGGTTGAATGAAAAGTAATACCTCCACCTTCATTACTTCGGTTTGGGATATTTTAATAAATCAAACGCAGAAATAATCCTTAGAATGTGCTCTTTAACTACCACTATTCACTTTCCCATATAATCACCAGACAATTGGATACATTTCTGCAAAAGATGAATAAGTTTTCTGAAGCCGTCACTGAAGAAGTCGACACTCTCACAACCAGCCTCTCACAGTTCTCTTAATGTCTTTATCAGAAGCATAATGATGTCCCCGCAGATTAACATCACATCAACACAATCACCATAAACAGCTTGCATTCTCCGATGAATCTCCCTTGGGGTGACACCTTCTGCTGTCAAGAATTCAATGACTGCACGTCGCATTGCTTAAGTCGCATTGACCGACCGTCTGCGCAGGGTTCCATACTTGGCACTTAACAACACAACCGTTCAATGCTAAGGCTTCCCGCCAAAATGCAACTGTTGAGGAGAGTCTACTGAACACGCCAGTGCCTGCCGCATACCAGTACTGCCATCTGTTGAGGAGTTACGAAGGTGGAGGCATTACTTTTCATTCAACCCTCGTATATTACACAGTTTAAACTGTATTGTAGGTCTACACCAGGCCTGGGCCAAGTTGGGTGTTTTGGACTCCAACTCCCACCTTTCCTAACAGCCCCAGGCCCCTTCCTTTTCCCCTCAGACGCTCCAGACCTGAGGAAGAGAGTCCTGAACAGGTAGCTTGCATAATCCGCGTGACACGGGTTTGTGAGAATACACTAACCCGCACAGAGACATATACATAGTGTGAGAAAGAGAGAAAGAGTGTGATATAGATGCACAGGCACACTTCTCCTCTCTGGATGCATTTTGTATAAACTTGGTATTTTGGACTCCAACTCCCACCATTCCTAACAGCCTCAGGCCTCTTCCTTTCCCCCCTCAGCCGCTTAAGGAAGGGGCCTGAGGTTGTTAGGAATGGTGGGAGTGGGAGTCCAAAACACCTGGGGGGCCCAACTTGGCTCATGCCTGGTCTACACTGAAGGGGGAAATGGTTCTTGAGATGGAGAGAAGGAGGAAGACTCCCTCATCTGAGGCTGAAATGCTCCCCAAAAGTCGCCTTGGAGTCCCCACCTTGGGCCTCTTTCGCCCTTTAGAAGGATGGAGGAGTCTCCTCGGGCTTCCCCCGACACCTCTTCCCAAGATTTCTCTCACAGCAGGACGGGTTTGAAAGGAAAACCCAGGCAAAGTCTTCCCAACGGGGCCTCTCTCTGGGCCCTTCCACACAGCCCTATATCCCAGAATATCAAGGCAGAAAGTCCCACATTATCCGAGTGTGGACTCAGATAACCCAGTTCAAAGCAGATATTGTGGGATTTTCTGCCTTGATATTCCGGGATGTAGGGCTGTGTGGAAGGGCCCTCCCTCTTGTTTACTGCTTTGCTCGGGCTCAGTTTTGGTCACTGTTTGGCTACTGAAGAAGCCACAAGCGAGTTAGTATCGTCTATTGGGAGTGCCCCTCTCAGGATCTCCTGAGACCTCCATTTTCCGGAAGGTCTAGACTGCCACATTTAGGCGGGGAAGAGACCAAGGTCAGCTCTTCTTGTGTGCTTCATTATGGCGATGCTAAGCATTTCTTAGGACCCTTCCACACAGCCCTATATCCCAGAATATCAAGGTAGAAAATCCCACAATATCTGCTTTGAACTGGGTTATCTCTGATAATGTGGGACTTCCTGCCTTGATATTCTGGGATATAGGGCTTTGTGGAAGGGCCCTCAGAAAACCCAGCTCAAAGCAGATATTGTAGGATTTTCTGCCTTGATATTCTGGGATACAGGGCTGTGTGGAAGGGCCCTAAAACAAGGGATATTATCCAGGGGTTGTTTGGGCAGTTCCTTCCTCTGAAGCAAAAAGCCTCTGTATTTACTGCTGAGGTGGGGGAACGCTTGTCCACACACACAGAAAAGATGTATCCCGAGGGGATAAAACTCGGCAATCACTGTCATTTCATAAGAGGCACCGGGCCCTTCCACACAGCCCTATATCCCAGAACATCAAGGAAGAAAACCCCACAATATCTGCTTTGAACTGGGTTATCTGAGTCCACACTCAGTGGGATTCCCTGCCTTGATATTCTGAGATGTGTGGAAGGGCTCTCAGACAAGTCCAAACAAGACGCTCCAGACCTGAGGAGCAGGTTCCTAGACAGGTTGCTTGCATAATCCGCGTGACACGGGTTTGTGAGAATACACTAACACGTGTTAACACTCCCAGAGTGTTATAAAGAGAGAAAGAGCGTGCCTATGGGCACAAAGGCACACTTCTCTCTGGATTCATCTTGTAAAACCAGGCATGGGCCAACTTGGGCCCTCCAGGTGTTTGGACTCCAACTCCCACCATCCGCTTAAGCGGCTGAGGGGAAAAAAAGGAAAGGGCCTGAGGCTATTAGGAATGGTGGGAGTTGAAGTCCAAAACACCTGGAGGGCCCAAGTTGGTGTAGATGTGGCCTCTGTCTACACTACACTAGAGTAAACCCACTGAATCAATGGAGTTCATCTATCCCTTGACTCAGCATTTAGCAGTTAGTTCAGCAAGAGTACCAGCACAAAGATGCCGGCCACTAAGAAGAGAAATCCATCAAATTCGAGAGAACTTGGGAAGTTTGGTCGAGAATGGGACCAACAAAATGGACTAAAAGCTGAAGAATTAGGAAGGGAAAGAGTGAGTCCCGCTAGCAATGAAGAGGGGGTGTTCCTATTGCCTTTCAAGAAGTGTTAGCGAGGCCTAGACCCATAAGGGAGACCCAGCTTACAAAATACGCATTGCTTTCTCTAAAAAAAGGCGAAGGATTACCAAGGGAAACGGTGAGTCTGGCTAGCAAAGAAGAGCGTTTCCTTCCTTCCTTCCAGGGATGTTCCTATTGCCTTTCGAGTAGTACTAGAGAGGCCTAGACTCATAAGGGAGACCCAGCTTACAAAATAAGCATTGCTTTTTCCAAAAAGATAACTTTAAAGTGGCTCAAATCAGTGGAGGATCTCTCAATGGGCGAGGCGGTCCCTTGGGGTCGCTTGAAGCGGGATGAAAACGCGGAGAAGGCAAGGAAAGCCGGTCAAAACCCCGCTCAGGTCTTTCCCTTCATCATCTCCAAACGCCTGGCCTCACCAGGCCAAGAAGGAGCCCTGGATGGCAAGATGGGTTAAACCCTTGTTCCAGCAGGACTGATGACCGATAGGTCAGCGGTTGGAATCCCGAAAGAGCGGGGTGAGCTCCCTCTGTCAGCTCCAGCTCCTTATGCGGAGACATGAGAGAAGCTTCCCATAAGGATAGTAAAACATCAAACATCTGGGCGTCCCCTGAGCAACGTCCTTGAAGATGACCAATTCTCTTACACCAGAAGCAACTTGCAGTTTCTGAAGTCACTCCTGACACAAGGATGGTAAAAACACCAAACACCCGGGCGTTCTCTCACAACATAAGCAACTTGCAGTTTCAGCGGTTGGAATCTGGGAAGAGTGGGTTGAGCTCCCTCTGTCAGCTCCAGATCCTTATGGGGGGGACATGAGAGAAGCCTCCCACAAGGATGGTAAACATCAAAACATTCCAGAGTCCCCTGGGCAACGTCCTTGCAGACAGCCAGTTCTCTCACAACACAAGCAACTTGCAGTTTCAGCGGTTGGAATCTGGGAAGAGCGGGTTGAGCTCCCTCTGTCAGCTCCAACTCCCCATGCGGGGATATGAGAGAAGCCTCCCACAAGGATGGTAAACATCAAAACTTTCCAGAGTCCCTTGAGTAACGTCCTTGCAGACGGCCAATTCTCTCACAACTTAAGCAACTTGCAGTTTCAGCGGCTGGAATCTGGGAAGACGGGTTGAGCTCCCTCTGTCACCTCCAGCTACCCATGTGTGAACACGAGAGAAGCCTCCCACAAGGATGGTAAAATATCAAACATCTAGGCGTCGACTGAGCAACGTCCTTGCAAACAACCAATTCTCTCATAACAGAAGCGGCTTGCAGTTTCTCAAGTAGCTCCTGACACAAACACACACATAAATAGGCCCCACAAGCACTCCCATTTCACCCCACACATTTCCCGCTTTCAAAGTGACCCAGATGGAGTTTAAACACCCCCAAAGTCAAGGGTTTGGAAGAGTAAGGAAGTCCAGTCCCTTTTCCCAACAAACTTGAAAGTTGTCGACGGCTTTTGTGGCTGGAATCACTGGGATGTTGTGTGTTTTCCGCGCTGTATGGCCATGTTCGAAAAGCATTCTCTCCTGACATTTCGCCTGCATCTATGGCAGGCATCCTCAAGAGATTGTGAGGTCAACAACCCAACTTGAAAGTTTTTGCGGGGAAGTTAAGTTTGGGCGAGAGACGAGAAATGAGAGACGAGTAAGTGATCAAATGATGAGTAAGTCTGATCCAACATCAAGATGGAGATCACCAAGTTCCCATTTCAGCTAGCAGCAAAGGCGAGGGACCCCGAAACCAAACAGGGCTCCCCTTTTCTCACCCACTTTCCCCCACTTTCCACCCACTTTCTCCTTTTCCTCCTCCTCCCTCCTTCCCACTTCTATGACCAACTAACCTGTGGAATCCATGTCAGGTTCCTCCAGCAACCCACAATGCATGCTGTTCCCATGGACGGTGCAGGAGCCCCCCAAAAAGTCCCGAGGCTTGTTGTTTTGGGGGTTGGGGGGGCGAAGAAGAAGTGTTGGAGAGCCCCCCTTTTGAAGGCTCCGAGGTGTGCAGGGGAGGAGGCGAGGGGTGCAGTTTTGTGGGGGAAGGAAAGGTTAGAGGAGTGAAAAGAAAGAAGGAAAAGAAGGGGGGAGGAAAGAGAGAAAGGGAAAGAGAGAGAGAAAGAGAGAGAGAGGTCCTCAGTAAATCCAGCAGGGCAACGCCAGAGCCGTCAAAATGTTTGCGGATGTTTCCTGGGAAAAAGCGTCATTTTATAGGAGCCCTGATGGGAGAAATGTCATTGATAGGCCGGCCAGCCTGATGAATGGCTGCTAGTCAGATGGGGATGTGGCGAGGCTCCATGTGAACCCCATTGTGCCCCTGCTTTGAATAAGAAAAGCGCTCCTCCAGCAAAGCCGGGCGGGGGGCCGAAGGGGGGGGGAGAGAAGAGAGAGAGAGAGACTTCAGATCTACGCAAGCCCAGCTCTCTCTCTCTCTCTCCCCCCCCACCCTTCACCCCAGCCCACCCCAAGCCATTCGGGGCACGTTTGTCTTGGGGAAAGTTCCTCCTCCAAGGCCCCCTTTCCCTCCCCAAAACCACTTTCTAGCTTTTGCCTCATTACAGATAAACTAGTTGAGTTTCCCCTCTCTTGGGCAGAGTTGGCGGGCTGTCCACACTGTGTTCGACCACCTCCTCTTGAATCTCCCGAATCGCAGCTCCAATGTGGTCGAAGGGGTTCTTTCACAAATCCCGCAACAACAAACCAGGGATGAGCTTGCAGCACTGCCTAGTTTGGAAGAAGTCAGCAATGCCATCAGCCAACAAAAATAAATAGCAAAGCCAGTGGACTTGATGGGATCCCTCAGTTGGTTCCCCTCTTCTTTCTCTCTGACTTTCAAGTGGCTTCACACATGACAGTTTTCTAGTTTTGTGCAAGTGTCAACTATGAATCCACAATTTACTCTTCACACAAACGCCAGCTTGCTCCGAGTCCAGAGTGCACACTCACTTCTCACCAAGAGCCGGGATGGACTGACTGGGACACCTGGCCTTCTGTAGCAAACTCGGGTTTGTGTAACGTGTGAAGGAGCAAATCACAAATGACCTCGGATGGAGAGAGGAACATACACAAACCTGTGTATGTATGAATGTATACATATCCATACCTATATGCATATCCATATCCATATCCATGGCCAGCCATAGCCTTAACCTTAGCCTTAGCCATGGCCACATCCACATCCACATCCACACCTAAATCTATATCTATATCTATATCCATAGCCATAGCCATAGCCATAGCCTTAGCTATAGACACATCCACATCCATACCCACACCCACACTCATACCTAAATCTATATCCATATCCATATCCATATCCATATCCATGGCCATAGCCATAGCCACATCTACATCCACATCCACATCCATATCCACACCCATACCCATACCCAAACCTATATCTATATCCATGGCCATATCCATATCCTTAGCCTTAGTCATAACCACATCCACACCCACACTCATACCCAAACCTATCCATATCCACACACACACGCGCACACACCTGAATCTGTAATCATTTGATCCCAGGCAGTTAGCCCTGGGTGTAATTTTGGAAACCCAGGTAAGAGAAATCTCAGAGTCCAGAGTGCACACTCACTTCCCATCAAGAGCCAGGATGGAGCGACTGGGACGCCTGGGTTTCAGTAGTAAACCCAGGTTTGTGTAACGTGTGAAGGAGCTCAGAGCTGTAATGATCTCGGATGGCGAGAGGAACATACACAAACCTGTGTATGTATGTGTGTGTGTGTTGGTATATATCCATAGCCATAGTCATAGCCATAGCCACATCCACACCCATAGCCATACTCATATCCATATCCACACACACATACATACACACACATACACACATCTGAATCTGTAATAATTTGATTCCAGGCAGTTAGCCTTGTGTGTATTTTTGGAAATCCACGTGAGAAAAATCTCAGAGTCCAGAGGGAACATTCACTTCTCACCAAGAGCCAAGATGGACTGACTGGGACGCCTGGGCTTCAGTAGCAAACTCGGGTTTGTGTAACGTGTGAAGGAGCTCTGAGCTGTAAGCAAATCACACATAATCTCAGATGGAGAGAGGAAGACACACAACCCTGTGTATGTATGTATGTATGTATGTATGTATGTATGTATGTATGTATGTATGTATGTATGTATGTATACATACCCATACCCATACCCATACCCATAGCTATATCCATATCCATATCCATATCAATTCACACACACACACATCTGAATCTGTAATCATTTGCTCCCAGGGAGTTAGCCCTGGATATTATTTTGGAAATCCACGTGAGAAGCAGAGAGAGGCGCGTGTAGAAGAGAGAAAAACGGGTGGAAAGTTGTGAGTTTCTTGTGTGTGTTTGCTCGGGAGAGGAAGGAGCTCTGGGCTCGGATAAAGTGCCTGGTTTAGAGAAGGAAAAGCTGTGATTAGAATATGAATAGAGCTCCGGGAGAGGAAGAGAAAGGGGGATTACGGCTGAATTACTTTGACCATGGACAGAGCCAATGTGCTTTTTTCCCTTTTTCAAAGTCCTCTGCTCTCCTTCCCGCCCCACATCCCCCAGCCCCCCCTTCTCTCTCTCGCCTTCCCTTCTCCTGGATCTCCCCAAAGGCAGGCAAAATACAAGCTATAATATCCATCCTTTTTACCTCCCTACAATTCCTAACACAACACATTTAACTCCCCCACCCCACCCCCAGGTCCAGAAATGTTCCCAGCAACGCAACTGTCTGAGTTTAGAACTTTATTTTTGTGTGGCTATTGACTTAAAAACAAACCTGAAGGGGTTTCTACGTGTCTGGGAGGGGAAGAAGGGCTCAAGGAAAGTGTGCAGATCAAACACATTTCCAGGCAAAGATAAGTAGGAAAACTGAAGTTGGAAGAAAGGGCCAGAGGGGAGGTCTGGGTAATACATTCCAATGAGGTGGTGAAAAAGAATTCAAGAAAGCCACCACCAGAGTCTCATAGCAGAGGGAGGAGAGAGAAAACACTTGAGAGCAAGGTGGAAATAAATGTTTAATGTCCCAAGTGGCTCCTGATGGAGAAACCTTCTCAAAGGAAGAGGACACTGGCCACATGTAGCATCCTCAGCTTCTTTGGCATAATGCACTGTTTCTCAGCCTTCCTAATGCCACGACCCCGTAATACAGTTCCTCATGTTATGGTGACCCCCAACCATAAAATTATTTTCGTTGCTACTTCATAACTGTCATTTGGCTACTGGATCGTAATGTAAAATATCTGATATGCAGGATGTATTTTCATTCACAAGACCAAATTTGGCACAAATACCCAATATGCCCAAATTTGAATACTGGTGGAGTTGGGGGGATTGATTTTGTCACCTGAGAGGTGTAGTTGCTGAGATTTATAATTCACCTACAGTCAAAGAGCATTCTGAACTCCACCAATGATGGAATTGAACCAAACTTGTTACACAACAGAAAATACTGGATTTGGTGGGCATTGACCTTGAGTTTTGGAGTTGTAGTTCACCTACATCCAGAGAACACTGTGGACTCTAACAGTGATGGATCTGGACCAAACTTGGCACAAATACTCAATATGCCCAAATATGGACACTGTTGGAGTTTGGGGGAAATAGACCTTGACAACTGGGAATTGTAATTTCTGGGATTTATAGTTCACCTACAATCAAAGAGCATTCTGAATCCCACCAATGATACAATTTGGCCAAACTTCCCACACAGAACCCCCATGCCTTGAAGGGACTCCCTTGTGCAAGCCTCCCTCCAGCCCCACACGCTCTCCCTCACCCCGCACATGTGCACCATGCCACCATGTGCTGCACACACCTACTTTCCCCTCCCTGTTTGGAGTCTCAGAAACAACCCTCCTCTTGCTTGAGAGGCAGGCTGAGAGGTGGGCCAATCACGGTGGAGGAGGGCTTTTGGTGGGATGATTTGCCATCTGTTTCCAAAAAGGAAGAGGAGAACAGGTGGATAGACCTTCAGCCTTTTCTGCCAAAGGGATTCTTAAGGTTGTCAGAAATATATGTTTTCTGATGGTCTTTGGTGACTCCTCTGAAACCCCCTTGCGACCCCCCCAGGAGTCCCAACCCCCATGTTGAGAAACACTGGTGTAATGCATCAGGGTTTCCTTCTGTGATCTGTGCTTGGTTCAAGGAGACCCTCATCTGGGGAGTAGATACTGCCCCAGGTGCAAGTGAATGGGAACTGGAGAGCTCAATATGGAGGAGTTAATGAAGTATCATACTCTGTTGTGTGCCTTTAAGTTATTTCTGACCCATAGGGATGCCTTGGACTGTGAGAAGATCCAACCAGTCCATACTCCAGGAAATAATGCTCTGCTGCTCATTGGAGGGAAGGATATTAGAGGCAAAGATGAAGTACTTTGGCCACATCATGAGAAGACAGGAAAGCTTAGAGAAGACAGTGATGCTGGGGAAAATGGAAGGAAAAAGTGCCAACTAAGGGTAAGGTGGATGGATGGTATCCTTGAAGTGACTGGCTTGACTCTGAAGGAGCTGGGGGTGGTGACGGCAGACAGGGAGCTCTGGTGTGGGCTGGTCCATGAGGTCACATAAAGTCGAAAACAACTGAACTAATAAACAACAACAAGGGATGCTATCATAGGGGTTTCTTGGCAAGACTTATACAGAAACTGTTGCCATTGCCTTCCATTAAAGTTGAGTATGTGAGTCATGGCTGAATGAGAATTTGAACTTTGGTTTCCAGAAGTGTGGTCCAATTCTCAAAGCATCACACCATGCTGGCTCCTAGCATAATGTAGGTAGCTTTATATAAACATTTCCTTCTCATATTAATTAGTGGACTCCTCTTTTGTTGAGGTTGTTGAACATAGGTTGGTTGGCCACTTCTCAGGTTGCTTCTTTCTGCACATCAGAGGGTTAGATCACATGGGCCTTGCAGTCTGATCAAACTCTGTGACTGCATTCATACATTAATCATTCTCACAAAATAGGACAGGATAATTGAGTCCCCCAGTGTCACATTTTGTTGTGGAAGCTGTGCAGATCAACACAATGCAGGCTTTGTACAACACTGCCACCCAAGAAGTTGTAAACAACACCCTAAAGAAGTTGGTGAGCAAAGTATGGCTCTTCTGAGGTTTTTAGATTTAGCTAATTACAAACAATGCAGTCCAAAACATCTATTCTAAATATATACATGTATGTTTTTAAATTTGGGTAGGACAAATCCATGTCTATTGGAAATAGCAACCATCTACAAGCCCCCTATATTTATACAATCCAGATTCCTTATTATATTGTATATGTGTATATCGGCATGCAGTTTTCCTTAACTCTATGTTGTTTGAGGTGGGAGGAGC